GATATTTAATCTGGAGAAGAAGAAGCTCCGGGAAGACCTTATTGCTTTTTACAGCAACCTGAAAGAAGGTTGAGTGGAGTGAGGCTTGCCCTCTTCTCCCACGTAACAGTGACAGGAAAAGAGGGAATGGCCTCAAGTTGCACCAGGGGACTTTCAGGTTGGATATTACAAAGAATTTCTTCTCAGAAGGAGTGGTGAGGCACTGGCACAGGCCACCCAGGGATGGAGTGAAGTCACTATCTCTGAAAGTGTTTAAAAGAAGGGTAGATGAAGTACTTAGAGACATGGTTTAGTGGTCCTTTCTTGGACTTGAACATCATGTCTGCAGCGGAGTGAATCAGACAGATACTAAAAAATCCTCAATTTTACCACTTTTAGGTTCTGCAGTAGCCACTCTTTACTTCTATCAGAAAAGATCAAAGACAGATTAGCTAATGAAAGTTAGCTTGAAAAGGATAGCATTCTTCCTGATGTTTTTCAGCACTCTCAGTTTTCTATTGAAAGACTCAACTGAAGCTAGCGTTGGGTTAGGCTGTTCATTATTGGTTTCAGAAGGAATGAAGCAGCCATTTTATCACAAATGAGCATGTAGAAATGGCTTTTCTCCCACCTATCTGTAGGAGTGTATTATCTTGCTGTCAAAGAAGAACCGAACAAAAGTCTTCCAGAGCAGAATATAGAGGAAACTACTAAGGACATCAACGTGCATTATCCTTCAAATTACCTTTAGACGCATCAGGACACGTAGTTAATACAGCACTACATGCAACTGACTTTATAGTTTCCATGCATACTTGCAACAGTTGACGTTTACAGATTTTTAGTAAAGAGTAGTGAGCATTGCTGTGGATTACTTTCTGAATATTTTTGCTAAATGACAGTCTAGCTTTGAAGGACATAAAGGGGGAATATTTTTAGGGATGACTAAAAGGAAGTTTTGTGCTCCTAAATTTCTCTCTGATGGAGCTCGATTACCCCCTCCCTTTTTACAAGATACTGTTTTTATGGGCCATTACTTGCCTTAGTACTGCATATAACACTATTGTATACAAAGCATTACTGTCTGACCTCCTCGTTAATTATGCTAAGCACTACAGCTGCTTTCCACTAACTGGTGAAATAAAACATAATAGCTGGCTTGCCTGAGGACGTTGGCTCTCCACGTCAAAAAAGGCAGAAACAAAGTCTGACCTTTAATCTAGTATAAAGTTTAGATATGTGCAAGGGGTGACTGGAGACACGACTCACGCATGCATCTATACTGCTGACTCCAGTGTCTGTGGCTGTGCATCCTGTCTGTGACTGGGATGTGGGGTGAAGTGCTGCTTTCTCCTTCACCAAGCTGCAATGTAAGTGCACGTGATGTAATGAAGCAAAAAAAACGGTGTGAGTTTTAATGGCAATTCTGGTTGATGAGCTGCTCTATTCTAAACACTTCTTCCCGGTCATCTGAGGAAATCATGGAAGGAAACTGCATTTATTGATGATACCCTTATCCTACGAAATAGAATTTCACTACCGCCTGAAATAAGGGTTTTTTGAAGAATGGCTAAGCAAACTAAAGAAGCCACCTCTGTTAATGCCATGTGTGCTGTTTGTTGATCTAATAGCTGTTCTTCTTTAGCAAGGAACTAGCACTGGTGCTCCTTGTATCAGCAGCACCACAGAGGCAGACAGAGAGATCAAGTCACAGTCTTAATTCCCACTTTGACCTCTACTATCCAGTAATTTCAAAGTGGATTAGATTTCTACAGGTGTGTTGAGTGATTTCAATGTTTTTGTGGACTTTATTCTTACTCTCTAGATAGACTCTGGTAAAATAAAATATTTCTCTGTAGCCATGAGTATAAGACTTTGTCTCTGAACATTTCAGTGACAAGGATATGTTAAAAACTAGTGGGAGGATTTGCTTTCCACATGAGGAACCTGAGCCATGGAGGAACTTAGTTACTCAAATTCATGGCAAATAGTGAGGGCATTGAGCAATCCTTTTTGGTGCCTGAAAATGCATGGCTGAAGAACATCTCCACCTCCAATGGCATATAAGGATAAGTCTGTCTTTCCCTGATAGCTGCAAAAAATAAGGAGATATGTGTAGTCACAGGAGTATCTCATCTCCTAGAAACTGCTGCTCTGTTATTGCAGGGCTTTGCTTTGTCACTGACACTCATGAAGCCAGAACAACCTTTGGCTACTCCCCACATACACTGCTACAGGAGCTAAATAAACGGGCATGATTTCTCAAACATTACCACAGAGTTTTCAAATAAGATTGAAACAGAAGTCATCTTTTACTGAAAATATTCACTGCAATGAAAGCTGTGGCAGAGAGATGATGCTAATGCAAGAGTGACATCAGGATCCTCCAGAACAGTGAGGAAAGACCTTTCCTGGGTCTGTTTTTCAAGTGCCCCTCAGACAAAGGGGACAGTTTTCCTTCTTGGCCTTCTGCCATACCGTTAGCTGGGCTGCAGTGAGCCATGTTTACAGTTCACATTGCTGAAGATAATCCTGACAATGCATACAGTATAAGGAGAATACAGCTGGGCTGCTGAGAAAATAAAACATCGGAGGATGAAAAAGAAGAGGAGGTGGGGGCTTGGGAGCTTTGAGCTTTTTCCCCTTCAACTAGGGTAATCAACACAGTCATAAATTAAATATTTATTCCAGGACATCACATAAATTACTCAGAAGCCATCATCATCACAGGGCTCTTATTCACAGAGCCTGTACATAGTTGGAAGGGAAAAAAAGAGTATGCTCAGGGAAGTGTTGTTTTTCTAAGTAGTTAGTCAGTATTTGTGGTCTTTCTAGATAAGAGGGCAGAACATATTACACTACTTATCACCAACATTATCAGCCATTAGACAAACTGAACAGGATCACTGCTTCTATTTTTTATTTCTTTACTTTTTTTTTTTTTTTTTGGTAAATAGAGCCATGGAACAGTTACATATAACACAGCTCCATACTCTCTTTTTTACTTTCTCCCAGTATACAAATAACTTATTATGCAACTGTTCGTTCTAAGAATGAAATAAATTATTTTTCAATATGTACGTATGACCTTTGTGGCATTAAATGTGACACTGATCATGTGTGGAGAGAAGATTATTTTAAATTTGTCTAATCGAGTGTAATGTAACATTGATACATGTTCTTCATTAATCCAGAACTGAAGTTTATGACCTGAAACAGTGTAGTAGCCATTACTGCTGTTTATTTAAAGACAGAATATAAAGACCATGAGGTACAGAATGTACCTGATAGGCTCTTGCTCTATTTATTTGAAACGTAGAGTGTAAGTAACATGTATTGGAAGAACAGTTATGGAGGTCATTGAACTCAGCACTGCATAAATTTCTGTGGTATCCCCCCTTTTCTCTAATCTGTATGCCAGCCATGAAGTTGTTCCTACTTTTGCCTATAAGTGTCATTTGTTTCAAAACTTTGATTGCTGGTTTTGATGAACAGTTTAGTGTATCTGCCCATGGTTGTTTATCAGCTTTACCACGTTGACTTATACTACATCATTTTAGCACTTGGACCTGATGACTGAAAAAGTTTACCTTGAAGTAAACAAGCAATCAAACCGCCTCTTACAATTTTGGATCATATAATATTTCAAAGTAACAAATACTGTGACCTCACAAATAACTCAAGTAGCAAAAGCTGCTATCCTACAAGTAGCTGTAAAGCTCCATCTTCACGCATATGTTTGCAAATACTCTCCTTGTCATTCAGCCAGCTTTTGAGATAGTCACAAACAGTGTTTATCAGGCATTTAAAACTGTAAAAATCTGTGAGCATCTGTCCTGGAACTACCACTGATCAGTTTCAAACAGTAAGTCACTAAATCTCTACAAAATGTGGAATTTCTGGGAAATGTAGAATTACTGTGGAATTTCCCTCCCCAGTTCCCACATACATACGTAGTTTAGTTTGGGGCTATACTCAGATATAAATTCTAACAAGGCAAGAAACAGAAACTCGAAAGTTACATCTTCTCTTTCCTATTCTTTCCCTTTAAGGGCTTTTATTATATATAGAAAACCTGTTGCAAGATGGTTTCCAGCATTTACTCACCATATTTTATACTTTCTCCCTCAAGGTCTGTATGGTAGCTGCAGAGTATGACAGAACTCTCTGACTTTATTACAGACTAAATTGCATGAAAAATAGCAGTAATATTAAAACTTTCTCTGTATTATATCTGAAAGTGGCGCCTTTTTAAAGGACATTGTCAGCATATAGAGAGTGTTTGATAGTACTGTACAAGTAAAATGTTGCCAATTACTGGGGATAATTTGCCATTTATTGACTGGTTTGAAGGCTTTCAAATTTCAATTTAAGTGACCATTTCCAAGTTCTATTTTTAACACATTCTGGACTGCCCCATTTGGGTACCGCTGGAGTGACCAGGACACATTTAAGCTGGTTTAACCTGGCCTAGGATATCTGCCCTTGCTCAAGTCTCAAAGCTTTGCTTTCTGTAACTGTTCGAGAAACATAAGGAATCCCCAATACTAAGTCTTCAGTGACTTTCTGTCTTGCAGATCCATGACATTAATTACCAGTTTGGGGGATCCATGAAACAAACATAAACTCTTACTTGGCTGTTTAAAATAAATGATTGCACAAAGGCCTAAAAATGAGCAAAAAAGCAGTGGCTGCCTTTTGAATGTAAAGAGATCACACATACACACAGGCCCACAAATGGAAATGCACAGGAGTTGCAACAGGAACCCAATTTGACCTTTTCTTTAGTTCCAGGAAAATCTTTTTTATCTGGGATACCAAAAACGTTGCTGCCCCTCTTTTGTTTCTGTGAGGCTGGGAAACAGGAATCGAGCAGCAGGAGGACAAAAGCTATTCTTACATATTTCCCAGCTCAGCTAAACCCAGGACTGACTGGAAGGCCACCAGGAAAGCCTGGACTCTGGAGACCTCCAGCCTGATCCGGAGACTTCTGGACTCTTATCCACTGGGAACAGAAACACCGAGTCACACTTGGAGCCAGGCTCGGAAAGTGTCAAGAATAGCGTCTGGCACAGTATTTCTGTACTACCGCTTCCTGCCCATGCTGAAACAAGGAAGGATAAGGTATGTCATTTTTTAAACACAGTTCTCAAACCCCCGGTTTTGATTGCTTTTCTATTAAAGGTCAGGAACCAGGCAGCAGGGCTAATGAGATTGTGTGGGACGTAAGTCGTGGGTAGATGCGGTGTGCCCTCCCGTTATAGCAAGCGCTGCTAAGTGGATAAAGTGGGTGCTGGGAACCAGGTGCTGGGATGCTAGTCCTATTTCTGTTCTGCTTTTCTTGCAGTCCATGCAGCCTGCTTCATGGGTTTCTTCTACTTCACAAGGAGCATGCTGTGAAGGCTTTTTTGAGTCCCAGACAAATGCTTTGATATCTTCTGATAAACAGATACTTCAAAGGTGATAAGCATTATCATTTCTATAATGTAATACTGAAGGATGACTCAATACTGTTACCTATTCCAGAAGGATGCAGTTGTGTCTAAATCAAATCAATCTGTAATTTTTATATAAAATTAATGTTTCCATACTTTCTGTTTGTTGACATCCACAGTGAAATTTACCCAGAACTATAATAACTATATAATATACTATATATTATATTATATATTATATATAATATAATATATAATTTACTATAATAAAACCATTACAGTTCATTTCTACGTTGGTGCTGTTAATATTTAATAGACAATGTGACAGGTGTCCCTGTTTATGAGGCCATAATACATTGCCTGACTGAATAAACTATGAATGCTAAAGGGCTGAATAGTTTTTTTCCCTCGTGGGAATGTGACTATTGCTAATAAGGTGTATTTTGTTTTGTCCTGTGTTGTCCTGGTTTAGGAAAGGACAAAATCTTCCAAACTGCCTGCCAGTCCTGCTTGCTGCATTCAGCTCCCAGTTTCTGTGTCACAGAAACCATCTCACAAGACTTCAGCTACTTAACTCAGAAGCTAAGATTGTCTACCTGATGTGACGCAAGAATGAAATGGCACTATTTACTCTTGTCCATCTCAAAATTAATCTTTTCTTAAACAACATCAAGGAGAATGAGATGCTTTAGCTTTCTTCAGTTTGAAAGATGTTGTTGGGCTGCAGAGTAAGAGCATTATCTGACACAAGTCTGCAGAACTCCCAGAGCTGGGATGTGATGGGTAAGAGATTGTCTAATAACATAGTAGGCTCAGAGGCACCTGAAACGAAGCCAAGATGAGCATCTGTACTAGAAATTCCACCTCTTGATCACCTCTTGTTCTACCTCTTACAGAATCTGAGCTTTCAATTTTGGTTTTCACTGAAAGGCTTTCCTGCTTATTCTAAGATGCTGCATATGGTATAAGGGGAAATAGACAGTCTTTGGATATTTCTCAGCTGAACACCTATGATGCAAAATTGTAGAGAATGAAATTCAATAGCTGATGTTGTCCTACGTACTCATTTCTACACCTGTCAGAACTATAGCTAAGAAAGTAATAGTAGTTTACAGTTACATACATGTAATGTTACCCTCTTGCTTCTGTCTGTCCATATCAATCGGAGCCCATCAACTTAATATGTTAGCCTCAGGTGCTAAGGTGTTTTAGTAAAGATGTTCCTCAAGGATGAATCTCTTCGAAAGTCCTGCTTGTGAAGTTAGTCTGAATGCATCCTTGAAGCAAATCCAGATGTTCAACAGGTCAGCCCTATGTTGCATTCAGCCTTTCCTTCATCAAATTGTTTCTTATCTGCCTTTTAGAATGCAGGTCATGATGAGTCCAAGACTATTCACCTTCCAGGGAAAAATCAAACAAGTACCAAAATCTCCACAAAGCTTACCTGGTCTTAGCTAAAATAGGGCCTGTAAAGAGACCAGTGAGACCCAATGGGGACTGGCCTAATGCCACCAGGAAAGGCAATGTGGCTGAGCACAGAACAGTATTTTTCTTGAGGGAAGGTAAATAGTAGCAGATCTGCTGGTATCTTCACTCTCCATGTTATAGTCTCAGTAATTTGAGGGATCATGATCAAGACAGACAACTCCCAGCATCTCCATGGGTGCAGACAATGGTGCACATGTGAAAGGGAGAACAGCCCTGAAAAGATCATTTGGCTCTCAGGCAGCTCACAAACATACATTTCATTCTTTTGCTGATCCCTATCCAGAACGCTTCAACCATACTTTTTTTTCTGAGCAGGAAGTTATTGCTTGTATTAGCAGTTCATAACCTGCCCCATCACTTTCTTTGTTTTACAGGGAGACTGATGTGGCCTTGTCCACGTAACTCTCATCTGGAGCTCTGAGGAGTGAGCACTGAGTTTAGTGGAGCTATTAATTTATTTCATGATTGTGAGGAGAAGGGAAAATGGCATGCAATAACTTCTTTTAAATTCACTGACCTCATTTCTTTTCTGTTTCTTCTCTGAATAGTTATCTTCCACGCAAAATGAAAATTAAAATAACCACAAACCCTCAGCTCCTAGAATTACACAGTAAAGATAGGAGAATGTATTCCGAGCAACATCAGTTTATAATTAAAACATTTTTCTTTTACAAAAAGTGCCTAGGCTATTCTTGTAGGATATATTATTTTTTGTAAGATGCATTTTATGCAGATTTCCTTCTTGCTGGAGAACCAAATATTTAAACACATTAAGTCTCAGCAAATCATCTTCTTTTACTACCATTTTTATCTGATGCATTTGGGACTACACAGACTGCAGTGTTCTTTCAATTAGTGGTTAAGATCATCACTACATGCAAATGTTCCTCATAAATAGCCACAGGCTCTGCTTCTGCAGAGTTCTGAGCAACTTCAGCCCTTACCAGTATAAAATGCGAGTCTGGCAGTCATCCCACCTGTCAGAATCAGAAGGACAAAAAGGACAGAATTTCTTTTTCCTGCAGCTGAGATGTTCTTGAAGATACAAGGAAGTTCTTATCACATTCATAATTTGAGCCATATCCATTTGAAACCACTACCCACCAATTTTTCTTTTTTCCAACTTCCAATGACTGGGCAATCAAAATCACTAGACCATTCACCATATTAGTGGTGATGGAACACTTCATTGGGAATTTTATGTTATCTGGCACTTTTCCTGGCATAGCAGGACGTTACTCTTCTATTTCCCCTCAGCTTTTATAAGGGCAACAAGCTTACTTCACAAACCTCCTCAGCCCAACCAAAACCAGAGCCTCTAGGTGATGTAATTCAATACAGTCTCATCAAAGCCATCCTGAGAAGACATGGGCAATGGCCTGGAGGTAGTTCAAAGCCTCCCAAGCACTTTCTGCTCTCCTGAACCATTTTATTCTGTCCACCTCAGCTCTTGCCCTGTCTCAACTTGTGCCTATTGTCTCCTCAGCTTCACAACTCACAAGATATGAAAAACATTTTGCCATGTTCTCTTCCTTTCTATAGCTAGCATTTCCTAATAGTCTGAGTGCCTCAAATTCTCAACAGCTGGCCTTTAAGACAGTTGCGGCTGTGGGTGCAGGGCTGGGTATATTGGCTATGGTCACGATTTATTTTTGGGATGCAGGAGTATGCCCACATTTTAGCAGCTGTGAATGCTGGCATGTGCTTGGGACAGGAAAGGTTTACATTGTCTGGATTCCAAGGGACTGATTTAGAGCAACTCATTTTGAGGCAGTTGGCCAGATAAAAGCCATGCTGGCTCCTTCCCTGCCATTTAAAAATGATATGGTCACAACTTCATCTTCCAGGCAGTTGCCCTCAAGAAAACCAGCAATTGCTCTGGGGCCTCTTTCTGTCTTGCGCCAGTCCCTAGTGGGCAAAGGACAAGGGGCGGACACTGTGGCTATTTACTTCTCTTTCTGAGATGGAGGTCTCCCCCAGCAGTGCCAGGGCTGGCAGGCTCCCCTGCAGGGACATGGGAATCAGAGCTGTACAGCTCAGCAGCTGAGCCTGTTGATGGAGGCATGATTTGTTGTTCGTTTTCCTTACGGTCAGCATCCCCAGACCATGGTGAGACAGCAGATGATTAATTTTTACACTTTTTGCAATGGTGACTAGCCCATGGAGCATTCTGCCCTAAACCAAAGAAAGATATGATGCAATGATTCAGGGAACAATTAAAACTGATTATCTTTTTTAGCAACTTTACTAATGACAGCAACAGCAGGAGAGTTTGCCCTCTCTGAGCATGCATTTCTCAGTGACATAATACATTTCAAGCTTTAAAGCACCCTCGTGGTTGTGATAAATGAAACAATTCAATAAATTAAACATTGCTCAAAGACAGATAGCTGGTGAGTGCTAGCTGACACTTGGTTCATGCAAGAATAAAACAGCAGAGGTCCCGAGGCTTCATGCAAAGCTCTGCTTTTGATTAGGCTTGCTTGTGGTGTGGTAGGAGGTTCTGCGACCTGCTTAAGCTGCCTTGCAGGACTCATCTCTGCCTCATCTGCTTTGGATTCACTGCATGACAAATGCTATCACCACTGCACAGCTGGCAAGAGAGACATGTCCTGAGGTCGCAACTCATGAAAAATCTGGGTGGGACAGCATATATTTTAGAAATGCCTGATGCAAATAAATTGCTGAAGCAGCCCCTTTTTGCATAATGGTTTAATTAACAACTGCCATGCTGCTGGGTTTATATGATTCACCATTCTTATCAGAGGGCTGCTTTTCTGAGACAGGAACCTTCTCTTCCTGCAGTGGTTTATAGGGGTGATTTCTCACTCATGCAAGGCCCCACTTCTCCCTCAGCCCCTAAGCAGCACAGTGAGGCAGGCAGTGAGTGGTCACACTCACTAGGAAGATCCTTGGCCATAGGGAGCAGAGGGCTTGGCTATTTGTGGGCTCCTGGCCTCTCCCGTGAGCAGGCAGATGGTTTTGTCGGGATTCTTGCACAACAGGGTGCAGGAGCTCAATGCAAAGTCTCACAGTAGCCTGAACCCCACTTTTTATTCCTTGTTTCTGTTCCACTTCTGTTCCACGACCAAAATCATCTCTGTCCTGTACTGGGACTGAGAGAAAGTGACAGAGTGTTCCTTAACAACTCAGCTAGAGCAGAAGATGACCCCACATAACAGCACTGTCCACAAAAGAGACTTTGGGCAATGCTGCTATTGAGTGAAATTTCTTAAAACTAACACAATCCTTTACATTTTTAAAAGCTGTTTGGATCCCGAGCTTTTAAGCTCTGAGGGAATTGGACCATGCCTCTATCTAAACTGTAAATAATTTGTGGAGAGAGCTGTTTTTATCACTGTACTTCAAACAACACTCAGCATGCTACTGGAAGCAATTATATAAATAAATTATATAATATGACTTTGGATAACTTAAACACCGTGCTGAGCAGCCAATGGTTTAAAGTTGAAAGGTGCTGAAGTCAAATTTAAAAGCAGAGGGCTCTAAAAACATCAGATAATTCAGTCATATTTTTAATCCTTTTTCATTTTCTGTGGTGGGTGGCAAAATAGATAGACCTCTAAGTAAAAACTTCATTGTTCTACAGAACAGATGTTTCTATATTACTTTCTCAATTGTGTCTAATAGAATATTATATGACATGCTGTAATAATAACACATTGTTAAGAAACTTCTGCAGATACAACATTTACTTTTGATTAAACAAGTTGTGCTGGGACTTCAGTGTGTCCCAGTGTAATTAGATATTATTCTATTTTGGAACAGCTAAATAAACTGCACAATGAGCTACTTTAAGAAAAAAAATGAAGAATAACTTTCTTCCTAAAACTTCAGGTAAACAAATTTAATGCTGAATGTTGCATGCTGTTGAAGTTCAAAATAAATCCTATTCCTCCACTTAAGCATAGTTTTTTGACAGTGGCAAAGCACTGGGCTCAAAATACAGGTTGCAAAGTGAGGGCTAACGTGAGCTCTGAGTACATAACAGATATGGTATACACAGATATGGACACTCCACAGATTTAAATCAATGGAGCTAAACAAACTGAAGTTTTGAGCTTGAAGGACAAGATATATGCCTGTACTATAAGGCCAAATCTATATGAAAAAAAAAAAAAAAAGGAGTTTAATAGCAAGATCAGCTAGTTTTGAAGGAAATTATGCTACTGGAACTGGAGAGAAACAAACGTGAAATTACCATGGAGAAAGGCAGGCAGGCAATAGCAGTCTAGACAAAAAATCAGTTGATGGGAAAGATACCACCTCTTTCTTACCATCAGTTTTCAAACATGCTGATTAAAATGTCTCTGTATAAGTGATTATGAAAGTCAGACTCTCCTACCACAATTATGTACTCCCTCTATACCTTGATTCATGATATCCAGAAGGCATCTGGCAAGTTGGGTAGCAGTTTATGACCAACATTGTGCCAGGAAGGTCAAGGAGAAACTGGGAACTCTGGAGAAAGCACAGCTTTAGGACTATAGGAACAATCTCATTAATACAGCATTTTACATCACACCCATGGTAATAGGG